ATATGGCAGTGGGAATATTAGTTCCCACCATATTTTAAACTTTATTCCCTTGTATCAAGCTCCAAAAACAATGAAAACTTCTTGGACTTCTTATGCCCGTGAAAGGCAAACAATAATTACCTGTTTGACTTTGTTACCAACATCCAACTGGTTGGTTTCGTCCAGGATGTCGTCCAATGTGAGCGGGTGGTCATCCCCTTCTTGGTGCCGTGACCTCATGTGCCTGACTATCCGGGCAAGTACACCAAATCTGTACGATGAACTACCAGCCATTGTTTTGTAGCTGGAAATATAAAAGTTTTAGGTGAAACTTATGTAAAAATTATACAACCTTATAATTACAACTGATTTATTGCTCTGTATGTTGGTGGTAGAACTCATATAGGTACTGTTATAGGAAAAGCAAAGGAAAAGAACTGAGCACGAGCAGTGTTAAGACAAGAAGATTATGAAAATCTATGTTGGTTTCGTTTTATTATAGAAAATGCATCATTGACTTTGTTTAGATTTATCTAGATTTATAGAAAATGTATTTTTGACTTACTTTGACGCATCCAGCTTGGGCCCTGCGCTGGCTGAGCTGGATGATGAAGACTTTGACTTCTTTTTGCTGTCATCTTTGAATTGGGAGTCATCTCTTTTCTTCTTTTCAATGCTGAAAAAAACTGATTTTTAAGTAGGCCTGTCAGTACAGTTTGAAATTGAATTTGATTTCCTCTTTGTAATATCATAATATAGAATGACTTCAATTTGTTTGAGATTTAAGCAGAGATTTTATTGGAAAATAAACTACATAGGTACATCTAAGAGAAATAAGAATTTCCAATACTTTTCAACTTTAATGATCAGGTAGGCAGATTCAATTAAGTATTATTTAAGTGCATCATGAACAGTTGAATACCAATATTCAAGTGTTTATTACTTCATACATCATTAAAAATACAATTAAGATTGTAGAAGTAGGTACAACAGGATGGTAATATCCAATCCATTCTTGGTGAAGTCCACTGGAGTAGTTCCATTCGAGGGTGTCGTATGTTAGAGCGAGAGAAAGTACATAATTGGGCCCAACAAAGCCACCAGTCGCGGCAGTGTTCCATTGGTGACAGAACGATGTAGTATCGTACCTCGGTGTCGCAAGTGCCTTCTTCTTAAACGCCTCCCGTTCCCGCAGCAGAGCCGGATCCATTGTTTTTAACAAACACACAAGTCACAAAAGGTGAGAATTATAAAAGTTTATTTATTTATTTTCAATTCATTGTTTTTGTCTCACACTTCCGATCAAAATCAATGCTCAATAAATTTGACAACTTTGACATTGACATTCACGATGTGACGTTGACGTATGTTTGCTTTTTTTATTCGGAGTAGTAGCAAAGGCATTTAAGCTTATTTTATCATTTTGTTTGGTATCAGAATAGTATTTTATTAAATATTAATTGAAAACAGTGAAAATAAAAATATTTAGGTTTCCTTTATAAACTAACCTGCATTCCCTATAATTTTAAGAGCCGATGGGCCAATCTAACCACATATGAATCTAACCGAAACCGGGCATGCATGCATGATTCATCATCCATTGGCAAGTCGAAATACACATTCAGAACTGAACAAACAAAAAGTAAGTTCGTGTCTGCCAGCTACCTTTGTTTGTTTGTTTAATTTTTAATTCGGTAAGCGAAGTATTTCAGTGTTTGTTGATACCGAATTGGCATAGCGCAGTGGCGCAGTAAGTCCTTGTGCGAAATGTGTCCCGGGTTCGACGATACGACTTTAATGATTTATGTGGTTTTTTGTTAGGGGACAGTTAAATGTATTGCAAATTTTCACACTTTACTCGGTTTTGTTTCTTAATCTTTGTGATAAAGTATTTCATTTAAAAACACTGTGACAGTACTAACAGTGTGACTTGTTGTAAGCTACGGCGAAGGATGGTTGGAAGTGGATAAATATATTATTAGACCGTATTACTATGTTCCGTAGGGTAGACCGGGGACAATAGTACCATTTTTTGGAAATTGTTCAATATTGAGAAATCTAATGAAATGTAACTTATTCTGTTAGGATGCTGTAAAAACTAGACTCTTAAGCTACAAATTTTAGCATGCAGAGTTGAACTATTATTTCGAATATTAATGAAAAACGAATTTGAACTGTACGATGTCTCATGTTACAATTGACCCCTACAACGGGTCAATTGTACCAATAATATATGAGGCAGTAAAAGTAGTTATGTTTATCTAATCATCACCTTTATTGGTATTCTGTTCTCTTAATCTCCTACAATCATCAGTCTTTATTAATTGAGATCGAAAATATTTAGGAACAAGTATGAAAAATCAACACTTAAGTTTAAAAACTACACAATAACTTTTCTTCCATAAAAACGAAAAAACTAACTGTTTCTACATTATATGCCATCTATTTGGCTCGGATATTGCATCTGAAACAACAATAAGCATAATAACAATGATAGAAATATCAAAACTGAAAAATCTATTTTTGTATGAGGGTACAATTGACCCCTGGTACAATTGACCCTGATTATTTATACCTACTACTGCTTCGACCTTTTAAGATTTTTTCATAAGCCTGTTCATAAAGGAATAGATCCGTTGATCCGCGATCCGTACTTTTGACTCTACGCCGAGGCATCTAAAACAAAATGTTCAAATACTTAGTTACTTACTGAATTAAGCTAAAATGTACATATTCAGAAGGGTTTTAGAAACCTATATTAAAACATTTTAAGTAGGCATTTAGGTACTTATATCACCTTTTTATCTACTTATTTAATAAAACACATTAAGATGTATCTAATTAATGCTTAATGCACTATAACTATGAATGAGCTTAGACTATATTTTCAGTAGGTAGGTATGCCTGTAATTGTAAAAATGTAAAATAACCACGTGAATGTTTTATAATAACTTATCTTATTATAAGTATAATAGGTAGGTACTTTAAAACCAATTTAAAATATTATGTAGTAAGTATAAAATAAGGTTCCGGGGTTAATTGTACCACGGGGTTGATTGTACCGCTACAATTGACCCCATGGAGACTGGTACAATTGTTCCAAGTAGGTAGTCAAGAGAACTCACCTGAAATTCAGTCATTTTCACAGTGAATGCCAATAATTCGCTGTCGATACCAAGTTTAGAGCCTGGATAAACTATTGACAACAATACTTTGGTAACAAATAGCATATTAGCCAACTTATGGGCTCATATATTTGACATAAAAACTTACTGCGGCTGGGCAAAAAACAAAAATCCTTCCTGTACACCTTCGTTTCTCAGCACAAGCGCCGCCGACTGGTGAGCGGATGGAAACACAAAAAGCGCATATTCTGACACTATGCACACAATCTAACGTCGCTTGTATGAAGAAATATCGCCGATGGTACTATTGACCCGTGGTACTATTGTACCCGGTCTCCCCTATGTATTCAGACGGTGTCGTTTAGCCTATTTTAGCGTGACTAATAGTGTAACAGTGACCATACCAATTCAAAGACGTTATGAAGCAGTATAGGCAGGGTTTGTTATCGCAACTATTACAAGTTTACAACTAGGTACCTAAATACATCAGTATTTATCTTGAGGTGCCGTCGCTGTACCTACCTAATCATACTTTATAAGTATTAATAACTAATTACATTGAATGGATCGTAAAAAGTCAATGCAGGATTTCAACTAGGTACACCCTGAGGTACACCCGAATACGTGGGAAAATGTAGTTGATCAAACAATACAAAAACAGACTTAGGAAGAATAGCCTTAGGCTTGCTAAATAATTTCTAGGAAAGGACCGTGGAACTGTGTGGGCAACCGTCAAATATCCTGCTGATAAACGTTGTATCAGGAAGTTAGGGCCGAGCCACAAATTACGATAGGCCGCCACGATAATTTAAGTCCCTCCCTACACTTTGTGCAAAGTTACAATGCAATGCTACTTTGTTGATACATAGACACACATTTTTAAATGTAGCCTATGTATAGTACGTTAAGTACTGCTCTGTGGGTTGTCTGGAAGAAATCGCCTTTGAGAAAAGACCGCGAAAAGCAACGAATGTTGCAATAATGTAGGTATACCTACCTACCTAACGTAAGAAGGACATTATCTAGAATTTTCATGGGATCTCCAGTGCGGTATTCACCTTCCCCTTCACAATACATGTCTTCCGATTAAGTAATAATTCCTCGAGAGACCTTAACTTTTGTGATTTTATGATGGAAAACACTAAAATCGGACGGATTTTGCGAAAACAATCATCAAAATAAGTAATTAGCATATGCTAATTAGTTCCACACTTGACGGGTGTGATGTGTGTGATTACTTAATTATCTTTATTCAATGTTGAATAAAATATTGGCACTTGATTTAAGTCCTAAAACGTCAAAAAATTCAAAGCTCCTACATGATCTCATACTTTACACATGGAGTAAAAGTGTTGAACTATTGAAAACTTTATATTTCAATTTTTCACTGTGTTACCTACTATCTCTTAGTTCTTATATTTGCAACTGTCCACATTGCATGACGTGGCAGCCTTTAATTAAGACAGCACTTTTAGTTATAGTAATTTCATGTATGCGTGTTTGTCTTGTTGGTTGTCCTAATAAATAAAATAAAATAAAATAAAAACTACTGAAAATAATCTCAAGAATCACTGCCGAGTTATATTCGGAAAAAGGGAGGAAAAACACGTGGTCTTAGTTAAGCAACTCTTTCATAAATTCGCGAAACTTTCATGGCCCTCAATATCGTTCTTCTGACACGGTTTTGCAAAATGTATTTGTTAGCTCTTTCTCGTTACTTATAAATAATACTATTAAAGTTTGCACCTGGTCTGTCTGTGAGATGGCTAGCTTGTAGCTTGTCTAAAGGTAGTTTGTTCGCGGTTTTTTCTCATGTCCCGTTATGAGGTGGGAATATCTCGATATTGCTTCGATAACCACCGGTCATTATCGCCGGTGTCACTGGCATTATCGGCGCTAATAAAAATGTCAAGAAGCAAACAACGAAACAAGTTTGGTCGCCTCAGCCCCGGCAAATGCTGCAGCCTTAATGCTGTGACCTCTGCTTAGCGCGGCGGACGTGTCAGGTGAGTTAAACAGTGAATAAATACCACTTTTATCCGCGTATGAATCGATAGTATTTATCGTCTTGGTTAGTTATTAGTCTGTTTTTTTTAATTAACAAAAATAGTAACTACACACAGATCTCATTGTTTTGATGTTGTTGAACAGATAATCAAGTAATTAGTAACGCCAAAGGATAACAATAAAGTGGCACGATCTACTAATAACAATGTACTATTTAGTTATTCATCTATTTCGTAAAATCGTACAAAACTGGTTCATAACTTATGTTAGGTAGGTATATTTGTTTTGATCTTATTTTTATTATGTTAATAACGTAATAGGTATTATGTACGATGAACAATTAAAATAATGTCCATAAACGTTTAATTATGTATTTTAACTGTGTGACTTCTCCTGTAGGTAAATAAGTAGGAAAACTTTATGTAGCTACCACCTACACCCAAGTTAAACGTTGCTTCTTAGTAACAATGAAAAGTTCTTTCATACTACCTATATTAAACCTTATGTTCCTTATTTACTAACACAAACAAAAGTCTTGTTGGTAATCTATTTGTAACCCACTTTAATTTGATAAAAACACTTCGTCCGATAAGCATATGAGCGAAGGACACAGATGATAGCCGATAGGTCAGAGGAACTTACAGGTATTGAATTATTTTACTAGGAGGAAAAAAACTTATTACAATAATTGTATTAAAAGAACAAAAAACATCAAATTAAATGTCTTAAACCGTAAATGAAGGTGATAACCTCGTGTACCGATTAATAAAATACAAACGCGATTGTTATGTAGGAAGGAAATAACAGAGCAATCAAAAAAAAATGTTGGTAGAAAAAGATTGACAGTTATGTCGATACGGATCCAAAAACTTCATCAGTTTATCAAAGATTTGTGTTCAAAAAATCCAATTTACTTCCGTACAGACCTGAAAAATTCTGCCAGACATTCTGAAGCTGAAACACGCGTAAATAATGAAGTTGGGTTTACACTGGCCACATCCCTTTGGACCTATTTGTTACGCGGTGGGTTACACCAGACACAAAACTGTTTCTTTTAATATTAAATGAATCATATTGTAACGGGCTTTTTTGTAAACGAAGAAAATATTGATAACATCGTAACTTATGTAGAGGTGGATCAATTCGACAATGAAAGGGTTTATAAATTACGAAGCTTTGTCGAATTGATCTGAAATTGTCAACAAGCCGTTCAAAATTTTGAATATATTCGAGTACTTAAACTATACGTCATGTGCGCTAACATTATTTTAATTACAAAAACTTTTGAGAGCTAAGCGCTCAAAATATTGTTAAATACATCTTTCTTATCTTACGGGAAAACGTTCAGTCCTACAGTTTTCTTTCTCAATGCACGTGTGTTCTGCGACTGTGATTCATTCTGAATTAATACCGCGTGCAAACAACGCATAAAATTATCCGCAAATTAAAAACGCAGACGTTGCTAGGTGTAGCTAAAGTTGGTAGGTATCTTACAGTGTTATAACTAGTATTTTTTCGATTGTTACATTACTTACTTACCTGACGATAACGATACCGTTGTATGTGCTCCGGTCAGACTAATATTTAATTTCAAATACGTAATTGTAATTTGCTTACTGCATTGCTTTCTCAGTTCTACGTGTGGTCATACAACTCGTATTAATAACATTATCTAAAGATGAGATAGATAACTATAGAATATCTATCTGTAATTTTTTCAAAGTGACTCAAACATTTCTAAGGGTGTGTGAATTGAACGTAACCTACTGGGTAAGAAAAAATGTCTCTTTGATACATTCATCGCTTTCAACACATTTTATGAATTTCAACAATATCAAAAATAATGATTCAACTCGATTCTACGAATTTTTACGTGATTTTCAGGCATTAATAATAATAATAAAATAATAAAATCATTTATTTGCAAGAACATGGTTACAGCACAGATAATATAATATTAGGTTACAGATTGGTGTTAATTTAGTTAATTCCAGCATATTCTGTTGCATGCCGCCATCATCATTCGCCGAAGACCATAAGTTTACTGACACTAGTTTAGCAGCTTAGAGCGATCAATCACATATCACACTTCTAGCCTCTTGATTGGCTCTTTTTATTATCCTTTTAAGATCCTGATCTATTATGACTTGTGGGAGACGAATCGAACGCCTCCTCACATTACTTTAACAGAAACAGAATTTATACAAATCATAAGCGACTTTGAATAAACAAATATATTTATAATTGACTATATTACAAAAACATAAAAGAAAATAAAATTAACAATCCGAATAAAATCAAAAGAGCAAATCGCAGTGAAGTGTCAAAGATGACAATATAAAATCTTCTTTTTCATTGCCGGCCAGGAGCGCGCGGGACGGAGCGCCGCGGGCGGACCAATGAGTTTTCATTGTGGCGTACCTAGATCGCCACAGTACTCCCCCGCCAGACCGTAACTACGGTCGGTAGAAGTCTGGATACCTCACTATTCTGCCGCTGGAGGTCTGCCTGACATTTTCTTCATTGGCGTGTTGAATCTCGGCCTCTCTTGAATCCTGTGTTGCATATGCTGGCTTAAGTCTGTCTATAGAGACGTTTACCTCCTTTGTGTTGATGTCCAGAGTATAAAACTTTGGTTGTCTCTTGATCACTCTGAATGGACCAGCATATGGAGGCTCCAATGATGTTCTAAGGCGATCTTGCCGGACGAAAACATGCGAACTGGACTGAAGATCTCGTGGAATATAAAACGATGAAGTGGCATGCCATGAAGTTGGCCGAGGGGTGAGCTTGGCCATGTATGCGCGAAGCCGGGTTGCGTACTGCGTGACATCGGCAGTTTTGTAATCATCCCTCGGACTCAGGAACTGACCTGGGAGGCGAAGAGTTTCGCCATACACCAACTCAGCAGGGGATGATTGAAGATCCTCTTTAAAAGCGCTGCGCATGCCAAGTAAGACCAACGGAAGAGCTTCATGCCACTGCGAAGGAGCATGGCACATGATCGCCGCCTTGAGTTGTCGATGTAGACGCTCGACGATGCCGTTCGCCGCAGGGTGGTAGGCGGTCGTGCGGAAGTGGTGCGCACCAACCATGGCAGCAAGGGCCTCGAAGAGGTGGCACTCAAATTGACGGCCGCGATCAGTGGTTATTCGCTCGGGACAGCCAAACCTGGCAATCCAACCCGACACGAGGGCGGCAGCGCAGCTCTCCGCAGTGATGTCCTGAAGTGGATATGCCTCAGGCCATCGGGTAAATCTGTCGATGACAGTAAGGCAGTACCTGAAATTAGAGGATGGAGGCAACGGCCCAATAATGTCGAGATGAATGTGAGTGAATCGTGAAGATGGTGTGGGAAATGAAGAAAGTGGCGAATGAGTATGACGTGATACTTTACTTTTTTGGCAGCTGATGCATTGCCTAGCCCACTCTCTACAATCTTTGCGAATCCCTGGCCAAACAAAGCGTTGAGAGACCAGTCGCACCGTAGCTGAACTTCCGGGGTGATGAAGATTGTGCAGCATGTCAAAAACTTGTCTTCGGAAGTAAGGAGTGATAAATGGACGTGGAACAGTCATAGAAGTGTCGCAGTAAACAGGTATGTCACTGTACGTGGTCGGTATCTTTTGAAGCTTGAGGGAAGAACCGTGAAGCAGCAGATCTTGCAGTTCAGGGTCATGCTCCTGAGACTGTGCAAGTTTCTGGTAATCCAAAGGTAATGTGATTTCTTCAACTCGGGAGAGGGCATCAGCGACAACGTTTTCAGGGCCAGGAATATATCGAAGATCAGTAGTGAACTGCGCAATAAATTCCAAGTGTCGAAATTGCCTAGGTGAGCACTTATCTTTGGCTTGAGAAAAGGCAAAGGTTTGTGGTCGGTGAACACTGAAAATGCTCGGGCCTCAACCATGTGCCGAAAGTATTTGATTGCCTCGTACACAGCTAGCAACTCACGGTCGTAAGGGCACAACCTGCCAGCTGGTACGAAAAATCGTGAATATGGCGAATTGGATATCGGTCCGGAATTGTTCTTGAATAAAGCGCTCTGTAGTCTCCACACGGTCTCCAACCATCGTCTTTCTTCCTCACCAGATGTAGAGCTGATGACCAAGCGCTTTCAGACCGTCTAGCCACACCACTAGCTACCATTTCCTCGTACTCTTTCTTTGCAATCTGCATACGAACAGGGTCGAGACGGCGAGGTCTGCAGGAAACAGGTGGGCCGGGAGTAGTTCTGATAAAGTGCAGCGTATTGTGTTTGGGAGGAGAATGAATTCCAGCAGGACGAGTGATCTCCGGATACTCTGATAAAATCCGATGATATTCTGACTCGGAATTACTACCTGAAGGCACTTTGACAGAAGCGACGTCATCATTTCCAGACGAAAAAGCAGCTACCGAGAGCGATGTAACTCCGTCGACTAATCGCTTATTACGGCANAGCAGACCGAAACTTTTTTCTTGCGTCTTCTTGTATACGGGGTCACCAATATGTGGGAGACGAATCGAACGCCTCCTCACATTACTTTAGCAGAAGCAGAATTTAGTAAAATCATAAGAGGCTTTGAATAAACAAATATATTTACAATTGACTATTTACAAAAACATAAAAGAAATAAAATTAACAATCCGAATAAAATCAAAAGAGCAAATCGCAGTGAAGTGTCAAAGTTGACAATATAAAATCTTCTTTTTTATTGCCGGCCAGGAGCGCGCGGGACGGAGCGCCGCGGGCGGACCAATGAGTTTTCATTGTGGCGTACCTAGATCGCCACAAATCCTTTATCAGAACGAAGTGACGTCCACTCATTTAACACGAGACATAAGAATAANTAGATCGCCACAGACTTTTGCGGTAACATGGCTTGTTAGAAAGCTATCAAAATACCTAGATACGGCAAATAAGTAAAATTAAATAGGGTTTTTCTTATTATCTCGGTTAAAACTTACACATGCACTATATTTCTATACATATATTTTGTAGTGGACTGGGGTTTTTTTTAAACTGACCAATAAATGCCTGTTTTTCAGATTGCTAATTTCCGACATTTTGTTTCAGGTTACAATGTGGTCCCGTAGGATTCCCCTGTTTATTTTTGGCGTTCTAGTTTTAATACTAAGGTAAGTAAAGTACATTTTTTATTTTTCAAACTCAATATTGAAGTTTCTAAAGAAGGTGTCTTCTTTAGAAACTTCATTTTTATGGACTTGCTGCTCCCTTCTGGTTTTGGATTAGTAGAAAAACAGGAAAGCTAACACAGGCTTTTAAATAAAAGCTTTCATCAGATGAATTACTCGTGTGCTTTCATTGTGAGTTTGGTTAAATGTAGAGTTACTGTAGATAGACTATATAAAATATCGATTTATTAGTTACTGAGTGGCCTTTGCCTGTTTACTACTAAAACTAGTAAGATTTTACTGTGATGAGTCGGGTAAGTAACTAAAATTTCTAGTTGCCTGTTGTGACCATTGCAGACTTCAGCATCTATCCTTGAGCGATGGGGTTAATTGGGATTAGAACTCCTAATATCATGCTCTACTTTGAAAATACTAATTGATTTATCTATTTTAGTCTATTATCCCAGAGTACGTGACGAAGATGTAGTTATAGGTACTTAGGAGTAGTACCGTCTCTTAATTAAGTATGTTTGCGTCATAGTGCTCTGTTACGTGCTACCTAGGTCTTTGAACAAACGTCCTCATCTACTATTTATACTGGGTAATCGTAATCGTTAGGGCAATTAAACGTTTAGGCTGATTGGTAGCGATCGTTACCAATCCTTAACTGCAAATTGAAAGAGTGTTTATTGATGACCATACAATGAGTTTATGACGCTATTTGTTTGGAGACTCTAGCTAGGGAAATAAAAAAATGCAATCGTTAATTTTCACTTTTTTTTACCAAAATTATATTATCTCTCCGTCAAATTAGGACATGGCTACGATTAGTCAACCATATTTCATTGCAATGTTACATATAAAGCCCGGTTTCAACTAAAACGGAGAGGAGAAGAAGTGTGTTTGAATAACCGATCAGATTTCGTTATTTCTCACTAAAATGGAAGAGAGAAGATGTGTTTGAATAAGCAATCAGATTTATTTATTTTCACAACACCTCTCTATTCAGTGTACTTACCGGAAAACGCGGCGTAGCGTAGGACGTTCACTCGGTGGACCGACGACTTCATATAAGTAGCAGGAAGGCGCTAGATGTAGGCCGCATCCCAACCGGGCGATATGGAAATCATTGGGAGAGGCAGAGGCAGTCCTGTGGCTGAAATGATGATGATAATATTCGCTCAGCTTTGGTTCTATTCAATTCAAACACATCTCCCCGCTTTGTTGAGAACCCGCCCTGAAACTGGCCCTCTTTGCAGCGTGGCAGCAGAGGACGTAGTATGGCGCTGGTCCTGCGACAACGGCAAGTGCGTCAAGCTGAAGAACGACCCGCGCAGCTCGGAGCCCGCGCTCAGCCTGGAGGCCTGCAAGATGTTCTGCAACGAGTACGGTGAGTCGAGGCGATAGAAGCAGACCTTCGCAGCGCGACAGCAGACGTGGTGTGCGCTGGTCGTGCGACAGCAGGTGCGTCAATCTGACGGACGACCCGTGTTCAGCCTGGAGGCCTGCAAGATGTTCTGCAACGAGTAGGTACGGTGAGTCGAGGCGATAGAAGCAGACCTTCGCAGCGCGACAGCAGACGTGGTGTGGCGCTGGTCGTGCGACAGCAGGTGCGTCAATCTGACGGACGACCCGCGCTCAGCCTGGAGGCCTGCAAGATTTTCTGCAACGAGTACGGTGAGTCGAGTCGATAGAAGCAGACCTTCGCAGCGCGACAGCAGACGTGGTATGGCGCTGGTCGTGCGACAGCAAGTGCGACAGCAAGTGCATCAAGCTGACAAACGACCCGCGCTCAGCCTGGTGGGTTGCAAGATGTTCTGCATCGAGTACGGTGAGTTGAGTCGATGGAAGCAGAGCCTTCGCAGGGTGACAGCAGACGACGTGCTGCCAACCTTCCTTTTCGACATCCACTCACCGTAAAGGCAGATTTCGTTTTAGAAAATGTAATTCTTCTAGCTTTCTGTAATTTACTGAGTTAAAAACTGGAAAATCTGCTGCCGTGTAGTCGTTACAGTCAGACGACTGTGGCGACTTCACGTGCTATCTGAACAATGGGATCATATTCCTTTTCAGAAAAGGAGTATCCACCTACTAAGTAATTCAGACTTAAATATCGATACAACTTGATGCAAGTCGTTGTTTATTTTGGAAAATTACTATTAGTCAATTAACACTCCTCGTGATAACGTACACAAATAAATAGAACGATTTACTTTCACAAAACATTATCAAGAACAAGATACTTAGCCTTGCCATTCGCACCCAGACAATTTATATTGTGTCTGAAAATGAATATTGTGAATGTGATTATTAAGATAAAAAACGCCAGACTGTGAGACATTGTGGTTTCTACTCATTTGTGTCTGTAGACTTTTGTCTGGCGTTGGTAAAATGGTGAAAATGGTGTTGTTTTCTGTACAGCTAGCACGAAAAACTTTCGAGTTCGAATCATTTGCGAATTTTTTTTTATCCACAACGGGGAAGCTCTTGGCCTGTATCTCACCTGATGGTAAGTGAAAGTGATGATCAGGCCCAAGGTGGAAGCGAGCTTCACCCGGAATCCCTAACCACAGAGGAACTGGCTATCTTACCTCTAACTGCCGGAAGACAACAATGCTGTTAACATTGTTGTTATGGCTACAGAATGGTAGTAGCTAGCCAGGCGGAGTTGGAACAAGCCCTACCACCAACCAAACCGAACAGAAAATTATGCCCCCACTGGGAAACTTATTTTGAGAATCTTTGTCACGTTATCATTTAAGTAATTCGAAGGTTGAGTATCGAATTTTGTCGAATACGCAAACGATTCGAAGACGAAAGTTGTTCATGCTAGAAGTACTGATACAGAATAACATCACAAATTGTTAGGCTTTTAGATCTTTCATTTTAGACTACGTTACTTTATTATTTTACAAATAATATTTTATGTCACCCGTGCGCACGCGCCTTTATTGCACCGAAGAATGCATGTTAGTGTTAGGAATACCGTTAGTTGGTTTGTAATCAGTGCCGTAGATAACAGCGAATGCGCAACAATCAACTAAGTAAGTAGGCTATCCTACAGGATACATCGCCCACACACGATTAAAAACAATCACATAAGAGTACGCTATGGATTGCGCAAAACTGTATAAGTCATTACTGATTTCTCTATTCTAATTTGGTTACCTATACAACAATAGTAAGTACGTTAGTTAACTCATTTGTGAATTTTACTGTAGCGATGACAATGCACCGCAGAGAACCTTGCAATGATGAAATTAAATACTTATTCCCAAAATTCCAGATACAATTTAAACCTGTTTTATAAAGAAAGTTGAACTGAGTTTTTTTGTGGAGCTTCTTTTCAGCTTGTTTTTGCCAAAAACTTATTCGTTTGGAAAAAGGCTCAATAATGTCAATTTGCATGAGACAATAATTTTTATTATTATTAAAAATAGTCTTAAGGATTTATTTTTGGGAAACATAATTTGATTGACGTTTTATTAATAGTGGTAATTAAATTCATCGGTCCAAACCAAACAAAAAAACCTTTGATTGTAGGTAATTCAATTCACGCATACGCAATTCGATACAAGCATTGTACTTACCTATTTACTTTGGTAAAAGTGAAATTAGTATCACGATCGTACTGATATGAAAGCGAGTTAATAGTTTGTCTAATTATTTGCAATTCTGTTTATCGTTAAAGTTAATTAATACCTTTTTAAAAGTAACATGTTTTGTAACGACTACAACGCTAATCTTCACATAAATAAATAAGAAACAATTTAGAAATGCAATACCTACTTACCTAGAAAACATCTAACAGGAAAAAGCAATTTAACAAACAAATTGTAGTAACGATTTGGTAGGAATAGAAACCATTATTACATACTTATCTGCATAACAAGTCATAAATAGATATTGTAAAATGTGTCATGCACATTTTATCCTCATAGAATCACAAATGCAAAGTAACATAATTTATTCTATTGTAGAGGCCTAGAATCTTTAGTAATTCTACTAGTGTAGGTAGTCGAGCACAGCCTAGCTGATTTAATAGGTACTTAATCTGTACATACTCGCATATAAGGGAGAGGCCATTTCCATCTCCTGAAAACTAAACAAACAACCCCAACCACAGAACATAGATGACCACAACACTCCCGAGTTTGATCCATAATCTTATGGTTTTCGTTTTAACTAAGTAAATGACGTAACACTGCTGGACAAAGGGCGCCCCCAAGAATTTCCACAAGTATGGGTGCTGCGCTGCTCGCTTCCAAGTATTTCCAGTGGCCTTCACCTCACCAGATCGTCGGTCACTTAAGGTCTTTTTTTTTTTTTTTTTTCGTCAGGAAATGCATGAAATTGCATACCCACTGGCCCGGGGGAACCAGTGGGTTATGTAAGGCTCTCCCTGCCAGATGGGCAGGGCCTACTCACTAAAACCTGACGGTGTCCTCCCGAAGTCTTTGGGACGGTGCTGCGAGTTATTGTCCGAGCTAGATGGCCTAGACATTCTTTCGCGGCTCCGCCCCACGGTCACTTAAGGTCTTGGCCCATGGTCGCCACTCGAGGACTTTTCTGCCTCAGCCCCCAACGGCCATCAGCTCTACGAGCTATATGCCCTGCACGCTGCCTTTGTGTTTGGCAATTCTGCGAGCTATGTTGGACTTATATCGAAGGCAATTTCCAGGACTGTTATGGCCACGGCCTACCGGGGAGGCGGACCTAGGCAACTTCCTCTCGAAGATCAACCTGAACAGCATCGAAGTGAAGATCCTGAAGAAAGGAGCCACGGACGACCTGATGGAGGCCGCTGCTAAGGTACTTAGTGTCTTTTTAACAGACTTCAAAAAAAGGAGGAGGTTCGCAATCTGTTTTTTTTTTAACTTTACATCGCATACCTAGAGAGCCTTAGTTGTAGACCTTAGTTTCTCATAATTATTATCAAATCTTACGTAGTAAGTAAAGAGGTTGATAATTTCGCAGACGCCAATTAACATACAATTAACATTATTGCCATATCATGGGCTTTTGAATAGGGTGTGAACAGTGAAGAGATTATAGATAAAAGTCTAAAGAAGAAGAAATCAATACAAGTATTATTTTAGTTATAAGAAACAGTCTTCTGTTTCTTTGTATACCTTCGCGTAGTTTAGTAGGCACTTTTAAATTTAATTGTAAACGACTAATAATAATAAACTAGCCCTATTGATACCTAAACAGTTCTTTAGGACTCTTTTCAATAGCAAAGTAGCTTTAGTAAGTTATAATATCCTAATGCTCTTTTCAGGATTAGGAATACCTACCTGAAAAAGAATGTAGTGTCGAATAGGACTACCTATACTTAGCTGAAAAAGGTCTGATTATAAGGGCAATGCTATCATGTAGAGACTAAAATGGAATATTTTTGTTCGCAGAGATTCAAGGAGCAAGTCTCCTTGGCAATCCCCAGAGGGTCAACCCCCAAACTGACCGGCAAGGCGGTGGACGTCTACTTAGTCAACGAGAATCCTAATGAAAAAGGTAAGTTTTTCAATACATAGTACGAGTACCTACATGTTCCATGGTCAAATGATTAATATAGGTTGATTATATTATTTATTTATTCGCTACCTACATTTACCTTACGTTACCTCGTAACTTCTAATGTTCATGTGATCTTTTTCCCTGTTTAAGATTTTCCAGGCTGGGGCTTAATTCTTCAGATGAAGCCATCGATATAATAATATTGCTTTTGCATGTATATCCAATTTGGACAGACCCTGTAGTAAATAACCTTAGTAATTCGAAGATCTTGGACCACTCTCCGAGTTCGTTATCCCTCAGGTTATGCGAAAACGAGTATCGTGGGGTTAATGGCTGTTTTCGTTAAAATGTATTGGTTACAAATCTTTTTTTTTTCGTTTATTGGCGCGATTTTTTTCCTTGGGACGTTACACGTTACATTTGGATTGGATTTTTGCGGTTTCGAATAACTTTTAAAGCTTTTTTGATACATAATGGCTCCTAATGGTTATTGAAAAAAAGAAATAAAAAATATTTATTTGGTACCATTAACTGCAATGTTTATGAGATTTTAAATTACTTTTTATATAAATCCCAAAGGCTTTCGTTTTAGAAAAACCTTTAATTAATTTCGATAAAGCAAGCCGTATGAATCTTCTCGTCCATTATGCAATTAGCTTTGGGCTGTTTATGTTGATAATCAACTCGATTAGCATGAATGAAGAGTTCGCAACATAATAAAAACATTTCGAAAAAAAAAATTCAATTGATAAAAATTAAGTAAGCAGCTAAACAAGACATTAAAAATTATCCTCATCACTAAGGTCAACGACAACTCGGAGTAAATATTTGTCGATGGATATTAATTAGTTTGAAAGTTTCCAAAAGTTTGACGCCAACTTCAACTTTACCTTGGTACATGACTTTGTAACTTTATCCATCAACTTTTAACAGCACAGCAGTAAGCCTGGAGCAGCTACGGCTCTATGATTTTTTATAACCAGGAAAAAAAATATTGTGGCGCCCCCTCACGCGCTCATGACTTCTTTCCATTGCTGCCCGGGGCAGGCGCCCCGGCTTGCCCCCTCCTAGATTCATGCCAGCTCAAGGCCCTGGAGTAAAACACGCATATTCTCCCACAGCATTTTCCCTGGAGATGGACGAGAGCTACGGCCTCCGCGTGTCCCCGTCGGGAGCTGATCGCGTGAACGCCACCATCACGGCAAACTCCTTCTTCGGGATGCGTCACGGGCTGGAGACGCTGTCACAACTCTTCGTCTTTGACGATATCAGGGACCACCTCTTGGTAAGTGGCTATGTTTGTTGTATACTACTGTATAGGTACTCGTATTCGTGAGGGTTCCAAGATAATCTGCTACGAGTATATTTTGCTGGTTGGTTTTAATAATATTCAGCGAGTTCCATGACAGTATTTTTTAAATTTAAGATATTAAGTTTGTAAAGCAATGCCTTCCCAAGATTGCTGGTGATTCAGTTTTGTTTTTATTAAACTTTATTTAAACTCGCTAAATGGCGATTTGAATAAATTAGACATAAACTCGCTACGGCCAGTATCAACGCGAAAATGTTTACGATTATGGACTCACGCTCAAAATTTTGCAATATCACTTACGGTGATAAAATACAGTTAAGATTCTTTTTTAATCCTAAATGTATTCGGCCGAGCACTGGACGATAAATTCAAATGTTTTTTATGCAGATTAGGGATCCCAATCGCAGATTTAAATGTCGCTTCGTTATGGAAATCGAGAGAATACAAGATACAAGTCATCGGCCTCAGACCGGTTCTCAGATGTTAACGGCTGGATATAACATAACAATGGAAGACGTCAGCTAGCTTGTCTCGCCTTATCAATCCTAGGTTAAAATGCAGGGATCTATCTGACAATCTTGCAGATATTTTCGCAGATTAGAGAGAATACCTACCCAAAGAAGATAAATTCGGCCCTGTCGATAATGCCCCAAGTGGTGTCAATAAACTTATCTTTGATTGCAAAACAAAATAACGTTTTGCGATCATTGATAAAGACCTATCTGTTTTATTTTCAAAATTGCATAAGTAGTTCTATTGGCACACAATGTATACGCCCATTTCTAAAAGCCAAGCCAGACGAAAGTTTTATTGCATGACTCAAAAATGACATTTGTTACTTGATGGCCTACTTTTGATTACGACATGTAAGTTACGCAGGTATCAATGGTAGACTGATTTCACCAGGAATTCAATCACGAAGGACGACGATAAAAAAGACATGGTTTATCCGTGGATATTTATTGATGACGTAATTTTACCAGGACCATCATGGGATTTTAAAGGATAAAGCGAAAGAATGTGTAGAGGTTGAGCGAGAGTGTGTTTTATTTCTGTCACAACCGTCAGGCTATCTGTAGTCGTTCCTGTACCTGAATACAATGCCAGCTGCATTTTCTGGTTTCAACCACACAGGGGGCAAAATATTTTATTTTATTTTATTCTTTGAGGCACAACATAGAAAGGTAGGTACTAGAAGGCAGTAGACTGTAATCATGATGATGATGGTGATGATGTAATGTTATTGTTGCAGATGGTCCGCGACGTGAACATCAGCGACAAACCCGTGTACCCGTACAGAGGTATCCTCTTGGATACCGCCCGCAACTACTACTCCATCGAGTCCATCAAAAGGACTATTGGTAAGATTTTTTTCGATATTTTAGACTTAGGTCTTGGTCACCTCTGATGTTTTTTGTGAATAATTGACGCTTTAAATACGAGGGAGGTCTTTAAATAACAAAAATTGGTACGACTGACACTGACTCCTCTTGATCTGGTACAAATCGCCTACTTGCGACGACGTGTGACATTTCGAATTATACTAGGTATAAGTAGTTTGAGATGTTACACTGTCTTCGCAAATGGACGAATTATTTTAAAAAAGAATGCGTACGAATATAACAAAAGGTCAGACAATAACGCATCGACCACAAATGTGGACCAACAGAAATCTGTTGTTGTTAATGTCAATGCGAGGAGGTAATAGCTGTTTTTTTTCCTCCATAAAAGTCAATCTAGCTATACAGCTTCATCATATTACCTTGGAAGGTTCCTCTATCCAATGCTATGGTTTCCAGAGGCGATGGCGGCGGTGAAGCTTAACACATTCCACTGGCACATCACGGACAGCCAGAGCTTCCCCTTCGTCACCACCAAGCGGCCCAACCTTTACAAGTTCGGAGCCCTGAGCCCGCAGAAGGTCAGTCTCTTTACTCTCTCATTCACGCAGGCCGAAACCGATGAAAGGGAACAGAAATACGACAATAATTTATTTTTTAATGCTATATAATTGTTACATAAGGCGAACTTAATGCCATTCGGCATTTTCTGCCAGTTAACTTTTGAGTTAAACAGGAAAAAACAATTTGGTAGTGTCTCTACCAATCAATTTGGTAGATTCCTCCTTTCTATAATTTCGTCATCTAAAAACTCGGCTCTTACGTTTGTTTAAATAGATTCAGGTTTATAATTTCTTCAGTCACTTACTTATGCATTTTCTTAGTTTTCTCATTGAAAATCATCTATACTTCTATACTAATATTATAAAGCTGAAGAGTTTGTTTGTTTGTTTGTTTGTTTGTTTGTTTGTTTGGTTGAACGCGCTAATCTCAGGAACTACTGGACCGATTTGAAAAATTCTTTTTGTGTTGGATAGCCCGTTAGTTCCTGAAGGCTTTAGGCTATATATCATCACGCTACGACCAATAGGAGCGGAGCACCAATGAAGAATGTTTCAAATCAGTGATTTTTTTCCTTTTGAGAGCTTACGCTGCGTAAACGGTTAAAGTTTCGCAAAAATCATGTATGACAGGATTGTTCCCCTTTAAAAGTTCTAAAAAAAAGTCCGCGATAGCATATGTCTATCTTTTAAAGTTGGCTCTTAGTAACCTTTTTTATGCAAAAAAAATCTGTTTTAAGTTAATGCATTATTTACGGAGGTTTTTTCATAAACATGATATTAATCCTTATCCAAATAAATAAGTTATTCATCACAAGTATTTAATTTTAAACATACTTGCCCTTTACACCATTCGATTTCATTAAGGGCCGATTTTTCAATCGTCGGATAACTTTTAACTGAAGAATAAACTTGTCGTTTTGACGTATTTCCCATACTGAAACTGTCAATGTGCCAAACTTATTCTTCAGTTAAAAGTTATCCGACGATTGAAAAATCAGCCCTAAATATCTTAGGAGATATCGCAGTTTTAAAACATCATCGCAGCAAAATAATGATCAAGTAGGTACTGCGCGCGCCNAGAGGTGATTTGCTTCAAAGTTGATATTATTAATTACTCATTAGTGCATTTTTTTACAATCATGTCATGTTAAAGACTATCATACTCTAGGGGCCTCCACTTAACCTCGGAGTGGGTGCCCGCTGCGTGCGCTCGCCTAACAATTATTCATAGTAATGCATGACGGTCATGCCGCGGGCACCTGCTTGCGCTGTAGGGCCTGTAGGTAGGTATACATAAACTCATTTTCGCGCGAGAGTTTTGGCGGAGGCCCTTGAGGTAGTGGGAATAGTCTTGAGGAAAAGCTTCTTCTCCCACGGCCAGTGGCATGCTAGGCTAGAAGCTTGGTGATTCTAGCTCCCGTAGGAAAATAAAATAAAAAGTTTACCAATAATACTGCGGTAGGTGTAGTTTTCGATTTCGTTGTAAAAAGATAATACCACCGAGTAACTTTCACCGGATAAACTTTTAAAATTTAGAGGTGATTTGCTTCAAAGTTGATATTATTAATTACTCATTAGTGCATTTTTTTACAATCATGTCATGTTAAAGACTATCATACTCTAGGGGCCTCCACTTAACCTCGGAGTGGGTGCCCGCTGCGTGCGCTCGCCTAACAATTATTCATAGTAATGCATGACGGTCATGCCGCGGGCACCTGCTTGCGCTGTAGGGCCTGTAGGTAGGTATACATAAACTCATTTTCGCGCGAGAGTTTTGGCGGAGGCCCTTGAGGTAGTGGGAATAGTCTTGAGGAAAAGCTTCTTCTCCCACGGCCAGTGGCATGCTAGGCTAGAAGCTTGGTGATTCTAGCTCCCGTAGGAAAATAAAATAAAAAGTTTACCAATAATACTGCGGTAGGTGTAGTTTTCGATTTCGTTGTAAAAAGATAATACCACCGAGTAACTTTCACCGGATAAACTTTTAAAATTATTAAAAGTGCCTACCCAAAGTCATTATTCCACGCGGACGAAGTCGCGGGCACAGCTAGTCACATATAAATAGCGGGAGACTTTTCGGCAGACAAATAACTCTAACTGCTTATTTGTATACTTTGTACAATCGATAAGTCAAAGTCAATTTTTTATTATTTACATGGACTATTAAATAGTGCTTACCTACATAAACAAATCAATCAAAATCAAAATTATTTTTATTTGTAAGTATAAACTAATTGAATTAGTACTTACAAATCGTCAAATTCTCTTTAGGAGCCTATACAATACATGTAATCTTTCTTTTTTTGCCCTACCAGTAGGGACACCATAGTGCATCAGGCTTTACACTTTAGTTACTCGTACAACAACATATAAAATGTCACAGTGTTCACTTCGATATGAACTGCTTTGTCCCCAGGTGTACACCAAGGCAGCCATTCGCGAGGTGGTCCGCTTCGGGCTGGAGCGCGGCGTGCGCGTGCTGCCCGAGTTCGATGCGCCGGCGCACGTGGGCGAGGGATGGCAGGACACCGACCTCACCGTCTGCTTCAAGGTACGAGCCCCGAGATGACTGGCGAGAAACTTTTTACAGCCAAACTACGCTTCCATCCAGCGATTGAATGACATATCCATACTGCAAATATCGGCCGACAAAAAGTCTGTATGTGGCTAGGCTTTGTACCCTTGTAGTTACTTAGATACACCTACGAGCTCCGAGATGAGTGGCGACTTAAAACTGGACAGACAGGTAAACTTTTTACAGGCAGAAACCTACGCCTCAATCCAGCAACTTTTGGATGCCGAATGCCGACATGAATGACATGTCCATTATTGTCCATACTGCCAATATCGGCCGAGAAAAAGTCTGTCTGTAGCTGTGGCTAGGCTTATGTTTTAGATATGCTGATAATTCACACAGCCACGGCCCAAATTATTGCTTGGCCTACTTAGTAGTAGCAATAGCAATATGTTGTCTCGGAATGGTCTTCAAGACAACATATTGCTGGTACGGAAACTCAGTCACCTTTATCAGCTTCTGAATTCCACAAGCATTGAGGAGCTAACGAGACTACTCGTACTAAGTTTATAAATTAATTTCACAGGCCGAGCCATGGAAATCATACTGCGTGGAGCCCCCATGCGGTCAGCTCAACCCCACCAAAGACGAGCTCTACCAGTATCTGGAAGACATCTACTCAGACATGGCTGGTAAGGGACGAAAGAGAGCTCGATTGTTTCCAAAAACATTTCAAAATCGGGGAAAACTTTTCGACTTTTTTCTTATCTTGACGACATCGTTCTGTTTTTATGTCTGGTAGTTTCAAATAATAAAAACAAATCTTAGTCGGGGTGATCTGTATGTAGGTAGTTAAATATAGTTTGATACTCAGCGTCATGTGGTATGCACTTGACACATGCTGAGACGGGGACCTTTTTGCTGCTGCAACGCCGCCTAAGTAACTGTCCCGATTAATTTTAATTTTAATTATTATTCTTTTGACTGGCTCTGTAATGTTGACCGTTTGTTTTTTGTATGTAGGTAAGTATGTGTATTCATGTGGCAGCAAAATAAACGTTATTTTATTCTATTCTATTCTACTCATCTTGACCATATTCTTGCAGAGGTGTTCGATACCACCGACATTTTCCACATGGGAGGTGACGAGGTGAGCGAAGCGTGCTGGAATTCCTCGGACTCCATCCAGAACTTCATGATGCAGAACCGCTGGGACCTCGACAAGGAGAGCTTCCTCAAGCTCTGGAACTACTTCCAGCAGAAGGCGCAGGATAAGGCTTATAAGGTAAAATGTGTTCTATTCTCCAGCAATCAGATCAGAGTTTAAGTCTGTAATATGACTTACTACCAGTCCAAATATTTTTTCTGATTGGCAGTTTTTTAATGAAGTTGTGATTTGTTTCAGGCATTTGGGAAGAAACTTCCTCTCATTCTGTGGACTAGCACTTTGACAAACTATAAGCACATTGACGATTACTTGAACAAGGACGACTACATTATCCAAGTGAGTCATTTTCGCAGAATCTTTTCGATCCAAAACAGTACAGTGTCAGGATTACCTACGTTTCAAAATGACGTACATTTATTAGAAAGTTATTTTGTACTCACCAGTTGACGCCATTTAGCGAGTAAGTACGGTCTTATCTGTCACAAGCCAGTGACTTCAACTTATTGATCTGGGCAAATACGGTTGAGCTTATTGCTTGGGATTATTCCTCCCTGGTACAACATAGGCACATCATTTGGATTAAAGTAATTTGTACTGATTATGACTTATTGTTTGCTTGTAGGTATGGACCACTGGCGTCGACCCTCAAATCAAGGGTCTCCTGGAAAAGGGCTACCGACTCATCATGTCCAACTACGATGCGCTTTACTTCGACTGCGGCTACGGAGCGTGGGTCGGCGCTGGTAAGTCAGCAATACTTTTAGCTTATACAGGGTGTAAGTAAAGGGCCATGTCTGCCGCACATTATAGTTCTATGGCCTTATACAGGATGTTAAGGACTAACTATGTCTGCCGCACATTTAGTGCTTTGGCTTTATACAGGGTGTATGTAAAGGACTATGTCTGTCGTACATCAGTAGTAGGTACCTTCAGCAAATACAGGGTGTAAAGGACCATGTTTGTCACAAATTAGATTTTTGATTAATATATTATTTCTTCTGATATTTATACATGGTGTTTTTGTTCTGTCTCAGGTAACAACTGGTGTTCTCCTTACATCGGATGGCAGAAAGTATACGACAACAGTCCGGCAGTTATCGCTCTTGAACACAGAGATCAGGTTTTAGGTCAGTAAAAGTTATATATGCCATATTATATGAACTTTGGCACACATTAAAAGGCTAGGTTGCCCTACTAAGTTGCCCTTAAAACATCTGAAGAGATTTTTATAATACCATTTCCACTGTCGTTGATGTCGTAAGAAGCTAAATCAGTGTGAAATGTGCGAACATCAGGGGGTGTAGTGTGAGTAGGTATACGTCAAACGCATTCGATGTCGACTGGAAGTGACATTAATTGTATGACGGATTTTACAGCGCCACTAGCGGAAACTTTCAAGAACTAAAATCTACTATATAAAAATAAGTCGGGTTTCCCTCCCTGACGCTATAACTCCAGAACGCACGAACCGGTTTCCACGGTTTTGCATTCGTTGGAAAGGTCTCGGGCTCCGTGAGGTTTATAGTAAAGAAAATTCAGGAAAAACTTAAAGGGGATAAAACGGGATCCACGCGTACGAAGTCGCGGGCGGCCGCTAGTCTTCATATATTTTTTAACGCGCTCGCTCGCTAGTGACGTTTGATGTAAACTCACACTAAACCCTCGGTCTTTCATCTGGCCAGCGCGTGGCGATCGTAGAACAAAGTCTCCGTGCCTCTGGAAAATTAGAGTCGTGTTCCCGCAGTGGAGACAAAACGACCGAATGATCTAATGTATAACCAGGCCTGTTCATCTCCGCGAGTTTACATCGAAAACAAAACACGCACGATGGCCCACCTACAGGATACTATTCGACAAGGCCTTACATACGAGCGAACATTGTCTCACGCACGCGTATTCTTGNTTATGTGGAAACTTGTATGAATCGTTATTCAGAAGTTTAATTTACCAGAACTACAACAGTTATTTTTTTATCGATCGGAACATAAGTTTTTTACTGTTTCGCGGATTTACCCTGGCCCATTTATTGCCCCGAAGCAGTGGTAGGGTTAATACTGGGATGTGTAAAAGCGCTTTTTAAAAGCCTATTTGCAAAAATAAATGAGTTTTATGAGTTTAGTTTTTTTTTAATATCTGAAGAGATTTTCTAAGACCATTTCCACTGTCGTTGATGTCGTAAGAGACTAATCAGGGTGGTGGCCAACGATTGTACGACGAATTCTCCGTCTCCGTGCCTCTGGAAAATTAGAGAGAGTCGTGTTCCCAGTGGAGTCTGGAGATAAAATGATTTACCTACGGATGAAGACCATTAGTAACTGTCAATACTTTCTTCTTCTATCTAGGTGGTGAAGCAGCGCTCTGGTCAGAGCAGTCAGACACGTCGACCGTGGACGGGCGGCTGTGGCCGCGCGCCGCCGCGCTGGCCGAGCGGCTGTGGGCCGAGCCCGCCACCTCGTGGCAGGACGCCGAGTACCGCATGCTGCACATCAGGTAACCTAAAGCCTGGTCCGTGAGCACGCAGAATTTTGGCCAATGACCCCTAGCTGCCCATCCTTATCGCTCGCGCGTAATTATATTGCTGTCGCGACTGTGCGACTGGCACCCGCAGTGAGTGTGCGAGCGCGATAGCAACTAATTACGCGCGAGCGATAAGGATGGGTAGCTTGGGGTCATTGGACAAAATTCTACGTGCTCACAGACCAGACTATAGACAATGGTAGCCTCACTAAACAGGATTCACAATGAAGCCAGGATAGCCCAAGTGTGAAGGTCTCGGACTGGCCGACTCGAGATCCGAAGATCCGGTGATTCGCTCCTACCCCGTTCACACCATTACAATTCCTAAACGCAAATACAAGGCGATAATAGCCCAACGGTGTCAGTGTCCTGTAGTTGGATTTTGTAAAGTCAATTTGCTAGGCTATTATGATAAACTCACTTCTAACACAGCATTTAGCTTATGTAAGCTGGAGAAGTTATGGGAGTTAGGAGGAAGTGAAAACTCCTAAAAAAACAGGACTTACAGTTCTCCAATAAAATCCAAACAGTGAAGATTGAGTAAAGTCTTTGAACCCGCAACGAATAATTTGTTTTTCTTCTCTTCCAGGGAGCGCTTTGTCCGTATGGGCATCCAGGCGGAGTCCCTGCAACCCGAATGGTGCTACCAAAACGAGGGGTACTGTTACTCGTAATCTCAACGCTAGCCTCACGAGATTCGTCTGCGTTCGCCCGGGCTACAGGCAACAGCAACGGGGCTTTTCTAGAAGTCCACGTAGAGTTTTTTTATTGACTCAAAATGAACAAACTTTTTTCTTTTTAATTTACTTATGGCTCGGAACAGTTGACAGCGGACGACGATACTTTAATGAGGGCTATCGTTTTAGCGCTCACCAGTTAGCGCCACTGTAGGTAGAGTAAGGTCCTGTCACTTGCTAGTAGCGAAGACAGTGGCACCAACTGGTGAGCGCTAAAGTGGTAGGAGGACTATCGCATTTGCACTCACCAAGATGGCGCCACTGTAGAGTAAGGTCCTGTCAATCGCCAGGGGTGCCAACTGTTAAGTATAAAAACGATAGCCCTTATTAAATTGAAGTAAGTAGAAGGTTCATTAATGCTCCATGAAAAGACTCTTCTGCCTCGAACTTGCCCAGGTATACAACAAAATAGTTCGTTTCAGCCAAATAACGTCCACTGCTGGACAAAGGCCTCCCTTATGGATTGCCATAACGACAAGCCCTGCGCTGCCCGGAACAACAAAATAGTATTCTTAAGCAAATTATGTCACTGTGATTGATTACGCTAAGCTTGTACTATTATGTATTTTGTCAATTTGGTGCACTTCTATTAATTAGATATTATGTAAGTTACTAGATAAAAACTTATACGTTCCAATTTAAATGTGATGTTTTGCAATAAATACTTTTATTGATAAATAAAATGATTAAAAAGTACAAAAATGTATTTTTATGTGTTACCTCTTTATCCATATTTTAAGGTACTGTGAACGGGCGCGACGGCACTAGAGTGGTTTCTCGACGAAAACGCCCTCAGCCCTACTCGCCTCAAAACGCTGCGCAAGTAAATACTTAGCCAACTCTTAATATCATATTTTTTGTAATAAATCGTTTTAAACTCCAATAAGTCTTGCTCATTTATCGACCTTAGTTAGCTGAAGAAGATTCCCGCCAGGTGCAGGTAAGTATTAAATGAATCGTATTTTTAACAAAGTATCGTAAAAAGGCTAATGTCTATTTATGAAAGTTAGAACAAGTAAGACTATTTTTTGACTGAAATAAAACTAACTCAAGTTTTAGAGCATTGAATAATTAATTTTGTCCCCTATCGTCGCATTTAAATAGCCTTAACGGTTGAATAATATTGAATACTGATGCCGCGATAGCTCCAAGGATAAGTAAAAACCCACTGCCTACTGTTAGTGATTCTTAAACCCTGTAATCTTCTCCTTCACCCTGTATTATTACACCAGTGAATTAAAAAACTCACTCATTAAAACTCATGTTACTTTTGCAAATAGGCTTTTAAAAAGCACTTTTGTTGTAAGAAAGAAAATGTTGCATTATTCGGCATGTGACGATGCACAGCATCTGGTGAGAGATATGCGTCTACTTCCGGTGTAGTTTTTTACCTTTTTATACCTTAAATGACGTCATTTCCGCAATTATTTAATAGGAATTGATTTGACTTACTTCCGTTTGCCGCCATTTTAGTCACCTGGGGGCGAGCTTGCTCGGAGTTCTTCATAGCGTCTTTAACTTCCAAACTAGCAACATCGTAAGCAGAAACTCTGCTCAGATTTTTACTGAAATAATTTATTTCTCAAGGTTCTTATACTAAGTTTAAAATTAAAAAGTGCAATTGACCGCGCGTGTGTGACCACGAACGACATGTACGTGATGGTGGTTGGCGCAAAAGGGGACGAGTGTCTTCCGGACGACGAGCAGGTGGACCCAGAGCGTCGGATACCGGAGAAACTCGGACCCCGGCGAGATTCAAAACGGATGAAACGAGGTACGTGGGATTCTGATAGCTTTAACACTCTTTTCGATCAAATGAGCATTCTCGCGAATCTCTATATTGTATTAATAGATTGAATAACGTACCCACAACCATCTTATCCAATTTTAACGGCGGCCCCGTCAGCCCCAATCGCAAACATTACCAATCAAAATACGTTGTTAGCATCACCACAATCGAACGATAACTCTTTCTGGTACGAGTTTCTTAATAAATACCCATTTAAACTACAACTATTAGTAGACTGGGTGGCCAACCCCAACACTGAGCCAGCTTACAGCTTGAATTATTAAATTCTAATGTTTTTTGCAAATCAAGAAGCTTAATAAGTATGAAAAAATGTGNCTTCGGTGCACATCATTTAGACCGCGTGAGCTAGAATTATTTCAACACCCTGAACTGATTGAACCTGTACCTAAAAATGAGACGCACCTTCAAGTAATTTATGACGGTGACGTGGGATTAGTGGGGCACTGGAGTTGTATTTATTACATTAATGGAATACTGCGTGTGTACGATAGTCTTGTTGGTGTTCTAGGAAAATCGCAAAAAATATATGTAAAAGCCTTGTTTCCGTATCTATCGGAGTCATGTATTCAGTTTCCAAGTGTTCAGCGACAACCGAATACTATTGATTGTGGTTTGTTTGCCATTGCTTTTGCCACCTCTTTAGCTCGGAATATTTATAAATACATATATAAAATTAATATTCATACATAAAAGTACAAGGCAAAATATCGGGAGAGTTTAGGCTCCATTCACCAGGTGTATAAATTGACATAATAAGTTTATTATATTTGCTGCTACGGAACCCTTTGTGCGCGAGCCCGACTCGCACTTGGCCGGTTTTTTGACTTTGAAATACAATTAATTCAAGTTTTAGAGCATTGGATAATTAATTTGTCCCATATCGTCGTATTCATAGCCTTAATGGATGAATACTTTTGAATCCCGATGCCGCGATGGCTCCTTAAAAACCCTGTAACCTCCTTTTCCACCCTGTATTATTATACCAGTGAATTAAAAAACTCATTCATTAACCGCATGAGTCCCAGACGGCATTAATTAATGTCATAACAATTGATTATCTATTGTGTCTAGATTCGCGGATCTTGAAGGATTAAAACTCATTTTACTTTTGCAAGTAGACTTTGTAAGAAAGAAAATGTTGCATTTACACGTCGCGAAAATTGCGGGTAGTTTGCAAAAGTTTCTAAAAAAAAACTGAAAACTTGGCTGTATAGCATAATGCTTTTGCCATTTTTGAAAGAATCAAAAAAAAAATATTGATAACTGACAAGTGTCACCTGTCAAATTTGTCAGCTGTCTTCGTGATTTTCAATATTTGCTTGTAAAAACAAAATACTTTCTTATTAATTCTTATAATTATTATCACATTAGAATCCGCATTAAAATTCCCAATCCACGATGAATTGCTGCCAAAATATCACGATGCCCAGTTGCGTGTGGTTCGAGAGTGGAGAGAAGCAGAACATCATCGCATCCATATTCGCTGGGTTACTTGTAAGTGTCGATGAATCATTGTTTACGAATCCAAAAAACTAGCTTAATTGTTTATTTATGGCTTTTATTATATCAGTCTACATGATGGATGAAATATTTAAGAGTTTTGGTATGAATTTGACGTATTTATTTGCCTCATAAAATCCTCAATCATGGGCCTTATGGTGGTCATATTATTTCATTGTTTTATTTCCGTCTTAAGTGTAATCTTACTGTCTTAAGGCTGTGTGCCATTGTTTAAGTGTTTGTGTCAAGCTTTGCTTGAAACTTCATGGGTTAACGTGAATATTGATGTAGTTTCGTGTGTCCAGTTCTTCGCAGGATGGTGGTTCATGATCGATGCAGAGGTGACGAGGCCCAACCACTTGAAGGCGGCTCACGTGTGTGGCGTGATGGCGACTTTATCACTGATCATGATCAACTCAGTCTCCAACGCTCAGGTACTTTATGAACTCTATATTATTTGATTTATTAGTTTCTCTAACTTACCAGCTACTTGGTCCTTAGAATTGAATGCTTAGAGGAGCCCCAATATTAGACAAGTTGAGATTTTCAGGTGGTAACATCTTTGAGCATCTAAATTCAGTCTTTCCCAAAGTGGGCGATAATACCCCCTTGTGGGCGCTGCAGGCATAAATAGGGGCGTTAAGAGACCCAGAAAAAAAATCGGGACGTTGTGTAGAGGCTTGGGAGGCGTCATCTACTAGGAGGACTCTTAGACATCGACTGAGCTAGTTAATAGTCTTGACTACAAAAATGGGGGGCGCTAAAAAATAATTTATTCTCAAAGTGGGCAGTAGACTAAATAAGTTTGGGAACCACTCTAATGTAAGAAAGGTACATAAAAATGTGTATTTATGTAATTACAGGTCCGTGGTGAGACATACACTGGGGGCTGCATGGGACCCCGTGGAGCTCGCCTCTGGTTGTTCTTCGGTTTCGTAATCGGATTTGGATCCCTAATTGCGTCATGCTGGATTCTTTTCGCCAATTATGTCAATGGTAAGTTGAAAGCCACTATTATACAATAATCAGTCTTGGAATTATTAACTAGGTCATCTATAAAGTTTTTAGACAAAGAACATTGTTTGTTTACATTGAATCTTATCTATATTTGTCAGCAGTTTTGTAATTTTAATTCTAATTAAAATTTCAGCTAAAGGAGACAACGAGACCTGGCCAGGTGTCTGCCTGTTCCTGCAAAACGCACTCATCTTTGCTGGATCCTTGATCTTCAAGTTTGCCCGCACTGAGGATCTCTGGGGCTAGAGATCAATCGATTATACTAAGTAAATAATGGGCCTGATTCAGCATGAAGTTAGTATATCTTTTTTCTTATTTTTTTTTCTATTCTTTTTTATTTTCTACAACACAATACTCATGACTACAATCGTACTGATAAACTATCAAATATACATTTGTATATTGCTTTCTCCATTGTTATGGTTAAAATCCTTCAACCAGTAAACTCTTAATGGAGAGATACGTAACCAAGTTGCAGAGGTACAGAAAATTTCAGAATCAGGCCTGTTTATAGATAGATAAGGCTTATAAAGTAAGACTCCAATTTATTGGTCACAACCATTATTTAACATGTCATCATTACACTTTTATTTTAAAGTAATGTTATTATTTCAAAATAGTTAATGATATTGGATGTAAGGTTTGAATGGGAGGCTAGATAGTGCCCTTTTTTATAGTAAAAAAATTGTAAAATATGATAAAGATTTTTGCTTGCAAGAAGAATGATACGAGCATCGCTGATATTTTAAATATGTGTTACGGTTAATGTGATAAATTGAAAATTATTAATAATAACCGGTTATTATGAATAATTCCCGACAGTCACGGAAAAAGTGATAAATTAATCACATTTAACAGTGATTATTTAATAATTCAACCTTAGTACTAACAAATTTCATAAAAGAGAACAACATCTTGTGTACGTGTTCGTGTACAGCCAAACTTCTGAACGTTTTGATATCACAAATTAATATAATTTGGCATAATGAGTTTGGAATGTTTCTTGCATAATATTACTTTTCCATGATGCCTATAACATTTTTTTTTTATTTAAAGTGAAAAATAGGTTAAGGTGCGGCGGGGGTGACCCTTGGGCCACCCCTAAGCCGCCTATTTAGTTTAATACACACATAAATGACCTCATATTAATCACATTTACCAAATTATGCGGTAATTATTCATAATAACCGGCGATTATTCATAATTTTCACATTTATCACTTTGACCGTAACATAATAATATGCACCATTTTATACATTAGCCAAATATTGAGATGGTTCGCTAAACCAATTTTGTTGAAAGTATTTTTTTTATAATATTACCTATAAATAGTTTCATGATATATTGTTATTATAGTTTCACTAGTAAATCTCAAAATATAACACTGAATCATAAAGATCTTTTTTCTTTGACGAAAATTTTGGGAGAGGAATTGGGTAAAGTATTTTGTATATAAATTATTTTATTTAAGTATTAATCATATAAATGTATTGTTTATTACAAGTATATTATAATCCACTTTTATATTAGTATTGTTTTAACATTCTTTAATATTCCATAGGAATTAAAATTAACGATGTAGAAATAAATAACTTTATTATTTTGGTATCAATAAATTACATTGATTGAAGGACAGAGTCTTTGGATATTTGCTTTGGTTGTTGTAACTTATATTAACTTATTTCAATTATATTCTAGCTGTGCTGTAGGCAATATTATATACATTTCCCAAAAAACGGATATTCACAGTATTCAGAAGAAGTTAAACACAGACATGCCTCAGATATTCGGATCCATTACCAATGTGAACTGTACACAGCAAACTGCATCCAGTCATAACCTAACCTACACCCGCTAGGGTTGCGTGAACTGTATGAAAACGACGCAGTTGTAAGCAGAAAACATTATTTTATCTTATTCCTATAAAGTGCACGGCACGTTAAAAGTTTAATTGCTTTTTGACTTTTTGACAAATATTTGTCACATTGGACGCGTTCTATGATATTTATGTTGTTTATGGCTGCGTTCACTTTGACCTGACCACAGACCACATAACGGATCTAGTGTGACAAAACCTTTGAATGAATAAAGTTCAAATGAGGGCTATCGTTTTTATACTTAACAGTTGGCACCCCTGGCGATTGACAGGACCTTACTCTACAGTGGCGCCATCTTGATGAGTGCAAATGCGATACACTAACTAGTGAGCGCTAAAACGATAGCCCTCATTGTGGTGGCAATATCTTGAGCCATATAAAGTCAAGTTCTGCTTTGCGTTCGTCGTGTCTCTCAGTTCACGCTCAGTATCCGCTAACGCCGTCCACACACGTCCGGCCGCCGCGACCGTCCGGCAGACATAACTGCGCGGTACCGCAGTTGCCATTCCGGTACTCGCACACGTTGTTGAGTGCCGGACACCCGTCCGGGGCCACCGTCACCCCGTATAACCGGCGGGAAGCCGTCGACACTGGCACCTGGCCTTGCTGTTTCGAAACCGTGTCTATGTACTCGATCTTCAGCCTGGAAGGACACAGCTAGGTTACTATGCTGATGTTATTGTTGTTAGGCAGTATCAGGAATGTAGCGCTTAAAATCGCAACCAGTAAAGAACAGGTTAGTCCCCGAGGAAAGATACCTCTGATGATCAGATCAGAGTCTGATCTACCTACTCTTACTCATCATAATTTCAGCTACAGGGCATCCACTGGACATAGGCCTCCCCCATATGATGTCCATTTTGACCGGTTGATAGCGACCTGAATCCAGTGCCTTCCTTGCTACCTTTGAGGTATAATTTAATATTAATTTTGAAGGAACTTTGAAACTTTGGAACCAAACAACCAATCTCCGGTAAAAGGAGTATGTAGTATGACATATAAATCTGGATGACAAAACAGAGCGTTAAAAAACTCACGTTTTCCAATCCGACCAGTAGAACCTATCGCCGTTGATAGCGAGGCCAAACGGATGGGAGCAGTTAGCAGCGATGGTCTCCCGATCCTGGGTGTCGATGCTGACGCACTTGATGCTGTGCAGGCCGGCGTCGGCGTAGCACAGGCGGTCGCGCGCCCAGTCGATGGCCAGCGAGTTGGGCAGCTGGACGTCGGAATCGTCTAGGAAGACCCCGCGCTGTGAGCCGTCCATGTTCGCCCATTCGATCTTCGGACCGTTGCGGTTCCAGTCCGACCAGAAGATTTTTCTGAAAGGTATAAGTTGAGTATTACCAGGCCTGTTCATCTCCGCGAGTTTAGATCGAAAACAATATGGCATACACGCACGATGGCCCACCTACAGGATACTCTTCGACAAGGCCTCACATACGAGCGAACATTGACTCACGCATGCGTATTCTTGTGTATGACGGAAGAAAATAAAGAAAATGGTGTACTAAATACTGTGCAGTATATAATTGCCTAAATAATAATAAAAACACAGAATGTACTTTTTTAAGTTGCCTCAAGACACTGAGAGGTAAATAAGTAGTTAATATTATTCATGATAATTCATGCTAAATCATGTATTTCCTCCGCCATTTTCCGCAGTTTGGCACCTCACGTCACATCATTTTACCGAAGTCAGCCCTATTGGCTCTGTGCACGATTACAGCGCCAACTAGCGTCCACAACTTTGTGGGCTCTGTCACATTGACATTTAGGTCGTATATTTGTGAAAAAATATCGAAATGAAAAAATAACAAATATTTTCAACTAATAAATTGTTGTGATACCACGATTTGGGTGGAAAAAAGGTTTTGAAATCATTTTGGTCATTCAAAGCAAATGTGGTAAGTCCAAAAAGTGTGTTTAATTTTGATTGTGTCAGGGTTTGTTTACTTCATTTATAGTTGTAGTTTTACAGTAAAACGAAAATAAAAAGCTACTTTAACGGTTTCATTATATAACAGTAAATATATTTAAGGCCGGGTAGCAGAGAAAATGGCGAAAATGAGGTTTTCATTTTTCATTTTTGAGGTACTAAACAGTAAAATTAAAGGCTTAGATTTTTATTGGGCATAGTTGAGGATATTTTCTAGGGCTATTAACGGATGGAAACACGATTTGATGAAGTTGACTCGATAGAATATATTCCCAAAGTTACCTCGATTCGTTTTCTATTTATGGTTTTATTTTTAAAATAAGCGATTTGAGATTCTAAATCTTTTACTAAACTAAAGTTCAGAAATAACTTGAGGGCTTTTAACGGATGAAATTTTTATATTGCGTCTTATTTAGTTACTATGTTAAAAAATGTGGAAAAAATCGTCCATGACNGCTAAATTACACCATATTGTTAATGACATTGAGCATACATTTTTTTAAATACCAAAATTATTAAATACAAAAATATAATTAGATAATTACAAAAATTTATGATTTGACTGCCATTATGTGATGATGGTAAGAGTTTCTTTGATGGAAGAGTATGTGCCTCTACTCACCCTCTCTGTGGATGTACTGCGATACCCCTAGGATTCTGAATTCCGTTGCCTTGAAACAAAACTTTTCTGACTTTCGTGTCGATATTGGCTACTTCGATTGTGAATTTCTTCGAATCAGTCCAAAATACGTTTCGTCCCGCCCAGTCCACTGCTAAGCCTTCAGGTGATTTTACATCTGCAAAAGATAGGTTTAGAATAGATTTAACTATTGAATGAATCAAGAGGTATGGTATATCTTGAATACTAACCATTTGATAGGAATTGTTCAAACGCAGATCCGTCATAAGCAGCCCTCTTGATCCCGTTTCCAACGACATCACCCCAGTAAATTCTTCCTGTAAGACAGTCTACATCAATTCCCACTGCAATCTGGTAAACGGCACTGTTTAAGGGCGTGGCGAATTCCCAAGGAGTCGTTCTGAAGGGCACGCGGTATACGGACGCACCGTCACTGGCCACTAAGAAGTTGCCAGCCCTTCTGGGATTTAGATCGCAGTAGCTTCCATTGCCATTGTACCCGGTGTTGCACTCGCAGACGAATCCATCGCTTCGTTTCAGACAAGACGCGTGCGCGTCGCACATATACGGGTTCGTTCTACAGTTCACCTCTGGCTTGCAAGTGTAACCATCACCAGTGAACCCTTCTTTGCAAATGCACTGATACGTGTTATCGTAAGGCTGGCACAAAGCGTCGACGCTGCAGTCGTGAGTCACGTCACAAGTGCGTCCTTGAGGTACACACTGCAAAATGCCGTCCCCTTCAAAGTTCGGGTCACATTGGCAGTAGCTGACCTGCTCAGTCTCATCGTATAGGCACGACGCATGGTCGGCGCAAACTGCTCCGTTACACAGCTGACCGTCAAAAATGCATGCGTCATTTTCATCCTTTATGTATCCTTCTATACATTGACATACGTATTCGTTGCGGCCAGGGTCGAGCCTGCATTCAGCATTGTATTCGCAGTCTGAGTTGTTAGTACAACTGAAGTTGGGTCGGCAAACGTAACCGTCGCCGTGATATCCTGAATCACATACGCAGATGACCTCAGCCGCTGCTGTGTCAATGCAGTGAGCGTTAGCGCCACAGGAGCATTCGAGCCCTGTTCGTTCGATGCATTCAAACGCATCTCCTTCGTAACCTTCTGGACAAACGCAGTTTCCTTGCTGACGATGATAATACAGATGTGGTTGTGGTTCTGTGACCGTGCAGATGGCATTAGGAGGGCAATCGGAGTCGCTGTAACATCTAACTGAAAAAAGGAAAAGGACAGATTATTTTTAAGTTCAGAGCTACATAATTTATTCAGTTATTGTATTGCATAAATAAAAGCTTCTCACTTAAAGTATCATTATTATCTTGAGCTGGAGCTGCAAAAACAAAACCATCGTAACGGCACAAATCGTTATTTCTTTCATCTCTATAGCTTGAGTATCCGGGAGGGCAAACACAACCGTATGCGTCGCATTGTGGCAATACGTATGTCTCATTGTACTCTGCTTCGATTGTGGTACTCTCAGTGGAGGTGACTGGTGGGTAGTACGGGGTCGATGATACAGGTGGGACGTAAGTAGAAGGAGTATTTGAGTTGTATGGTGGGTAAGAACCCGGCTGTTTATAAAAGTCCGAAGCAACATCAGTGCTTTGTCTCTCTGTTGCAGGCGTTCCCTGCACACACTGATATCCATCACCTACGAATCCCTGTAGACATTCACACACATATCTAGCTTGCTGATCTGAATACATGCAAGAAGCATAAGGAGAACACTCTGAGCATCTTTTATATTTATCATTTTCCCTAGAATAGTCTTCCACGCATTGTTTCCCATTGCCCGTAAAACCAGGATTACAAATACAATTCGGTTCAGTATTAGTATTTGATTCTATACATTGTGCGTTAGGGTCACAGGTATCACTTCTGCATCCGACAATTAAATTACGACAGCTTATTCCATTGCCAGCGAATCCGGGCCTGCATCTACAATCGAATCCTCCTTCGTTGTTGAGACATTCGGCATTGTTGTCACAGTTGTGTGTCCCGGCAGCACACTCGTCTATGTCTACGCAAATGGACGCGTCGTTGTGGTAGATGCTGGTGAATCCTGTTTGGCACACGCACGAGAAAGAACTACCTTCAACAACACACGTGCTATACGGGCCGCAAGTGTTGCGCCCCTCTACACAGGGGTTATCTTGACCCAGTGGCGCGACTTTGTTACTAGATCCATATCTTACGATGTTATCTTTGGTCTCATAACCCAAGTAGTTCTTTGACACTTTCAATGTTACAGGAGCAGCTTCTTCCTCTGATCTGGGGGCATACCGACAAGGGTTAAATATGAATGTTTGCCTTACAACTTGTTCGTATTTCTCGCCAGTGGCCTTATTGACAAACGTACGTGTGGATTCTGACCGGATAACACCTGCCTCTACAAAAGATAAGGTTTCTTGGAATTCTGATATTTCAAGTTTTGTTCCAGTCACTAAAAATGGCACTGTACCCCGTATGTCAGAGTCTAATGCAATTTGATCGAATACATCGTGCCCCAAAAACTCTTGGTTTATCACAACTCTGTCTCCCGTGGCAGGGAAGAATATATCAGCGCTATGATTAAATAGTGATCCGGTCAGTTCATAGCCGTTTTTAGCAGTGCCTGAAGGCTTGGCGAAAAGCCAGCCGATGACGCCACCGAGGACATTGAGCAACTGCAGACTGCTGCCGAGATTAGGAGGAGCCAGGGAGAGTGCCGTGTATGATCTTCCGTCTGATACGACGACGTAAGCTTGTATGTCGACGTCGTTTAGGTGTACGGTGTTGATGATGCCGTTAATTTTGCCGTGTACCCTGAGAGGCACGTCGTTTTTTATGCAGGACTTGCCGTTTCCGTAGAAGCCTTCGATACACTTGCAGCAGATGCCGGCCTGGTAGTCGACGCAGCGCGCCTGCACGTGGCACACGCTGGGCCCGGTCTGCGCGCAGGTCTTGGACTCCTCTTCCACTTCCACCTCGTTCTGGTTGTACTGGTCGGGCACTGCGATGTTGCCCTCGTACGGTATGTTCCCCACACGGAACACGTATTTTCCAGGCTCGTGGATGTTCGACCATCTGGAAGTAAGTGAATTAATCCATGAAATAAACAAACGCAGTCCTGTTTTACTACTTAGTTCTATAAATAATTAAGTACCTATAGGAGACTGTAGGCCCCTTTGAGATACGAGACCTAATGTATTAAAAAATGAACATGCTAAAATCGTCGGATCGCACTATGAAAATAACGTCATATTAATGTATATTACAAATACAAACAAAGTCAGGTAATTGATACTGATATTTGATTTGTTAGTAGACATATTAAAATATCGAAATACAAAACACGGAAAAATGATTTTAAATGTAACTTACGTCACTATATTCCGGATTTGATGACTGCCAGAGCCTCTTAGAGTAAATACTCGTCCATCTTCAGCATTGAAACCAGCCTGTGCCTTGGCATCAGGGAGGCTTGATATTTGCGTGTCCCTTTGTATCCACTGTATCTCCCTTTCAGGATACAGTAATTCAACGAAGCTCTCTGTCCCATTGCTGATGATGGCGATTTGGAAGGTGTTCTTGCGATTGTGTTTTTGAGGGGAGCTGTACGTGACGTCGACCCAAGTGGCTATGAAGACGCTGCTCGGTTTGAAGTCAAAGTAATCATGGAAGTTGTTCTGGACGCTCTCTTCGGCCTTGACGAGGACGTAGGTCTCGTTGGTCTCTCTGTAGTAGACGGCACCAGACTCGGTGGTGTCCACGTTGGTGTAGAACGCTGCTATGGATGGGTATGGCAGCGGGAACTCCGAGTTGAGGAACTGAGGGATGTCAGCTCTGAATGATAGGACGCCGAAGTTGTTTACCTGTAAAAAAGAAACAATATTTTTAAAAGTCCTGCAACTAAATCCGCAAACTATGCACATAGAGTGCTATTGCAACTACTTAGATTACGGATTGACATAAAATAGACCATAATGAATACAGTAAATTATTTAGGTAAATAAAACCTAAAGCATAGTTAGTACGCAGACCACCGGGTTCAACTAAGATCAGGCATAACAGGGTATGCTATGAAGTCTAAACAGAAGATAGTTTTCTAAATTGACCCGACTGTGATCTAAACAAAGTTCAAAGAGTCTTATCGCGCTGTAATATGGCATCGGAACATCATAATAAAGGTTGAATTATCTAGGTAAGTATATTACACGTGCAGTTATTGTAATAAATAGGAATGAACAGTTAACCTTTGAATCAATCAGCGGACTTTTTTATTCGATTTCAATTCCTAATCGATTGACTTTGAAATAGAAATCTTATAGTGACGTCAAACGTAAGGCCTATTTTCATAAATCCTCTGTGAAGAGTGAAGAAACAGCGCTTTGACTGCTTCTGTCACGTCACAGACATTCATTGAAATTGTAGGCAATAATTAATTTGCTATTTAGAAAATACTGATTTTTCGGTCTTACCACAAGTTTTACGCATCATGCATCGCGGCATCGTTACAATTAATTCCTACGCAATCAAAATCAAAAATAAAAAATTAAAAAACATTTTTGGAAGGTAGTTATTATTTTTTTGCATAAACCGTCAGTCAAATCTCTTGATGCACGGCAACGTGCCGCAGTCGCGCGATTAATTTCGATTTATTTCGAGATTTTCGGATCTAAAACCATTGATTTTCATTTCAACTACTTTAATTATGTGTTTTTTTAATGTGATAGTTTACGTGTAGTGAAAATATAGTGCAGTGTTCACCGAAAGTTTAGTGTTCTTGACCTTGGAATTTGGCCCACCTCAAGGTAGGTAGGTGATGTTAAACATATTTATCTTTAAAAGCGAAAGGTCACTGACTGATTGACTGACTGACTGGCTCACTCATCACGACATCTCAGACACTACAAGTGCTTTTGCATGGGGGTTAATTTTAGAACGTAGGTGATCATTAAGACGGGATTTTGCAAAATGCAACCCATAAGGGGGTAAAACGGGGTCCACGCTTACGAATTCGCGGGCGGCCGCATATACCCACCGCAGATATTTAACAAAATTTTTTCCTTCTAAATCTAATAGACGTGACAAACTATTAGAATATCTATTGCTGGCGATAGTGGGTCGCTATTTTAAACAATAGCCCGTATCGGCGTGATTAAGTTATGTAAACTTGCGTGTGACCCGGCCATGATAATGTCTTCCGAAAGGTCCCGACTCTTGCCTAACCATACGATAAGGTCCCAAAGTTTCTAAGGCCCCTTCGTTTCGCATGCGATATTGAGTTTACTTTCGAACGCGTATCTACATCGTTAGAAATTGCAATTTCCTACTTTCGAGTTCACAATGATTCTTATTTGATTTAATGTTTTCTTAATTTCTTTCCTACTTTTACTCGCTAGCGAGTACACCTAACGTAAACTCATGGTAAGCACACTGTTTTTTTCGTGTGGCCTGTGGGTATGGATGGAATCGGGATCAACCTGATGTCTGAAACTTTATGAGCCGCAATGAGCATCTGAAACGGTTTAATGTTCATGTTTCAGTACCATGCTCAGATTTATTTTAGTTCTGAGTTACTGTCTATCATTAGCATCATCTAAGCATGACATATAGCTACATGCTGTAAGACATGAAACCGGTTTAAAATTGTAACACTCGATTCAATCTGAAACATGATCATCACATGTTTCTTTCAAACCTAGGTTTAATTTATCAATGTTTGGACTAACCAATGTTTGCGTTTTTCGTTTATTGTTACAATTTTGAATACTACCTAATTTCTCTTTTATCTTCTTTGCACAGTCAGCGTCAAATAGTGACACAAAAAGTTGACAAAATAACCTTGTTATGACGTGTTTCGAATTTTTTGGTTAGGTACTTTGGGTGTCAGGAACTATTTGACGCTGACTACAATGAACTTTATACCTTTACTTTACCTCAAAGCTTCAGTTTACATCTAAATGGGCCATTCATAATTTCCTGTCCACTCTACAACTCAGATTAGTAACACTGAGTAATGAGTTACCTAAAGTAATTTCGCAACACAGCGCATGCGTCCAGCGCATTTCAGTGTAACCGCAGGCGCAGTGCAGTGACCGTCCGTCCGCCCACTGCGCCCGCGCTTCCGCCGCGCTATCTGCCGTTCGCGAATATGCAGCTTTTGGGACACAAAACAAATAAAACGTCGAAAACATGCATGGCATTAACCTTTGACATTAACAAAGGATTAGAATTATGAGTTATTGTAGAGGTTTGTATGCATTAAATTAAAAACGAACTTTCAAAGGGCAGTTCTGAAAGGCTTAGTTAGTTCTTTGTTGGGTATTTAAGCCTTCTGGTATTAGCCAAAACAAATTTGATGGGTATAATTTTCTCCCTATGTAGCCGTATCTTTGATAACATAAAATGGATCCGCACCAGAGCGCCGTCAGAAAGTACCTAAGCAAAGCTTCTAACTACCAAACCACGGATTACCTACAAGACCTACATGTTCTTTAAATACATATTTATTATATGAATAAGTACAGAAGACACCCAGACTATACAAACTGAAAGCTATAAAATAATTCATGGCACATGTTACAGGTAGGTAAAGCACACACACACATATTTTGTACTAGGATCGATCTTCTGTAATGCTCACTAGTCTAGAACCAGGTTGAAAAAGTTTGGAAATGCTTTGTATTTTAATAACTTGGATTTAAATATCGTTATAGTTGCTTAGTGATGCTGTATTAAAAGTAAAGGTTTAAAAAGTGAAATCGTCATTGCAAGTACAAGTATGTACCTACTTACGAGTAGGCACTGTGTGAACTTAACCTTGAATTTATTTACAACTTCATTCTAATAGACACAGTTCAAGTTCTAACTCATTTAAAATTACAATATTTCAAATTAAGCACTACACAATAAAATGTTGCAATATAGGTTACTGTAACAATACAAAATAATATGTAAAACAACACGCTATTGTTTCTCTAATGCCTATCGGTTTCGGGTTGAATATATTGACATTCATTTGATTACAATGTTTAATTATTATCTATTCACTGTGCAAAACTATGCGAAAGTTATACAATACTTCCTGAAAAGTAAAAAAAGGAATAGTTGAAATAATACATTATGCATGCAATGATTGGGCAGTTTAAATACATTTTAGGTATATGAGTAGGTAATATTATGTAGTTACTAAGCAAAAATATATGAGAAAAACTATAGTGTCTCTTTGTAAGCACATTATGCCCACTTTATACACAGTATTTTTGGGAAAAAGATTAGAATCTTTAAGTATTCTATTCATTCATAATACCAAGAAAGTGTAAGTCATCTCGCTTATCGGTGTCTAATTTTAATGAATTTCTTTCAGGCCACTTTCAGGGTACTTATTTAGTAGTAAGTTGCATCATAGTTAGGTAAATATAGCTTGCTATAACGGCTCTATCAATTCGGGGTAGATAATATTATCATTTTGTGAAGATAAAAAGAGCTCAAGGAACTCTGTTAATGTTTTAAAACTACTTATCACGAAATAAGCGCGATATATTCGGGTGGAAGACGGAAGTCCATGAAGTTTCATGAGAGCTTTCGTTTAGCTTTTAACCCTTGGCTAATAAGTAGAAAATGTGATAGGTGTTTACGTGTTTACAGGATAACAATGCAATTTTTAAAATTCCGTTTTCAATGACTAATATGTCATGTCGGTTACAGTTCATTTAATTTCGGTAACTTGGCGTAGCGATCGCGAGTTCGAAACTTGTAATCGATTGTTACTTTTTCTACAGACGCAAAATCAAATATGTTTTCCTTATATGAAAACTTAGAAGCTTACTAAGTTATTAACAAAGCTGTAGTCTTTGTTAGGTCTTTGTTTGTTTGGGCTACAATTGTTGGAAAATTAACTACATCTTGCAAAGTTTTTTTTTCATAGATTGAATTTGTTTTTTGTTGTTTGTATTGTGCAAAATGTACTGGCTTAGGAGTCATTAGAATTAAATATCAGCAGTGTGACATAAAGCAATCTTCTTACGATATACAATGCATATTTTTACAATAAACCCTTAGAAAATGGTAACGTAAACAAGCAGATTTAATGCACTGTTGCATGTTGAATGTGGAGCTTTTGTGAACTTTACTCGTCTAAGAAATAAATTAATTCGCGGATCTCTTTGAAATTATATTTCCGGGCTACACATCCGTGCTACAATGTAGCGTAGTATGGGACACTCAGGGGATAATGAGATTTACGGTGCACATTTCAGAGTAAGATCACAACACGTTTAAAAAATCCCTTAAGAAGGGTTTTAAACCAAAACTTAGCGTAACCACATGCATTTGTTACAAAGGAAAACACAGCTACTCACAAAGACAGACTCGTACGTTTCCCCGTAGAACACGACGGGAACATTCAGGGGCAATTCCGGGGAGGCCACCTGATCGCCCCGGGGCAATCTCTGGTCCAATCCATGTCCGTACGGGTAAAACTGGTCGCGCGTGATCGCCGCCGCGCTCGCAAGTAGCGCCAGAACTCCTGCGCACGTCCACATGTTGGCTGGAGGCACACTACACTGCCGATTTGAACTACGCTCCCGATTGTGTGGAGTTTTGGGACTTTTTCGTTGGAACATTGTTTTGACTAGAATGCAAAATGCGGGAGTCGCTTTAGCAGACTAGACAGAAAGTTCCTGAAACTTACCTGCTTGTTTAGGTAAAAAAGTTTTGGTACTTTTTCTTAAACGGAAAAACTGCTTTTAATGGCTATTGAATGAAAAATATGGATATTTTTTTAACATAGACAAGCATTTCGAACATAATAAGTAAAATATTTTTGTGATAAGTGCTTTTTATGTTTATAAGGTATGCATAGGAGAGCCTGCTCTACATTACCTGTTTGTATTATTATTATAAAGAGCTGTGGTTTTCTGAATAAAGAAAAATAAAAATAAATAAATAAAATAAATACATAACATCAGCAGGAAGCCTGACAGGATATTTATAGATTGATTGATTTGTGACTTTTACTTTTTGCGTATTATACAGCAATACCTGCCATATCTTTTTAGGCAAGCGTAGATTCTAAAGTCTAAGACTTTAAAACTGTTGTATAGAATATTACAACACGTCTTTCTTTAAACCTTTACCTGGTAGTGGCAGAATTGTTGCCACCATATTTTGAACCTTATTAAGAAAACATAAGGTACAAAACTAATGAAAAATATTTTTCTCTATACTAGTTAAGGGGTTAAACTTTAAAGGATCTGTATAGGTACTTAACAGAAGTTGATATCTCAATCTTTCTTCATTATACAATAGAGATATCTTACAATATAATATATTCCCATGGAGTTAATTAGGAACCTAAGATTGGATATCTACTAGAAATCGGGGTTACATTAATAATTTCATTCATCGTGGACGTCAAAGGAATATTTTTATCAGTCACGCATTCGTTTTTGTACAAATATAAACTCACGCACATATTGCATTACAGATAGCGGCCATCATTATAGCACATTATGGTTCTATACAGAATAATAACAATGTTTTCCCTAAGTTTTGAGAAGTTTCAGACCAAATCCCTTCCATTCTAAACAACTGTCCTCTAGTTTGTCTTGAAGAGATTGCTCTATAGCTATAAGACCTAAAATTTGGCCGTCTCTTTTGTGTATTTCTTTCTTTTCTCTTTTTGTCTTGTGTGGTGTTAAATTTTAAAGTTAATATTTAAGATATGAACCAGTAAACATTAATTTCATCTTCATCTTTGTCTAAAGTCGAATCTAAAGATAAGATTTGAGATATATTGGTTTCCATAATTAATAGCAATCACCACTAATATGTTTAACATAATAGATAAATTAACATCGAGTTAGTTAATTCCTTAATGGACAATGGCCGCGGGAATGTCCTTATCACCGCTGATAATGTATGGGCTAACAAAGATGCGGGTATACAAGACGGCATGTCAAACTAAACATTGTGTATCTTATGTTAATGCAATTGGGATTATATTGCAATAAAATTATAGTCTGATGCTGTCCACTGTACCTAATACAAGTATTCAGTATCGAGAGATAAGAGTTTAGGCCCAGAACAGACGGTGAACGCAACTGCAACGAAACTGCAACTTTCTTTAATGAATGAAACTGAAAGTTTCAAACTGGTCGCGTCATGTGTGGTCTCTCAACGGACGCTATGGCAGAAACTTAGATGCAACTCAAAAGTAACTAGCAGTTGCAGTTTCGTTGCAGTTGCGTTTCACCGTCTGTTCTGGGCCTAATGGTAATAATTAATTTCTAAGACTTACTTAAGACCGTGCAAAAGCTGCTAATTTTTGTTGTTAAGTAGCATCAACTAGAACTACCAAGGATCCTTAAGTATACCTAGGCTCAACGTTTTTAGTACAGTCAGATTCAAATAGTGTGACACCTAAAGTAGGTACCCAAAAAGTTCGTAACACGTCTTTGTTGCAATTGGTATAAGGTTGTGTTTTCAACTTCTTGGTCACTTTGGTATTACGAAATATTTGATGATGACTGTACTACAAAGGATCCTAAACTGTAGAACTCGAACTCTTTTGTCTGCAAGTTTGAAAGGTATAGAATTATTAAGGAAAATAATAACGTAAATACGAAAACTGTTGTAATTCCACATTGATTTTAAATATGCCTATTCTATTGTCTTAACAAATTAACGAGCGATTCGTCCCTATACTAGCAGCTGTACTTCAAAGAATTGATAACGAATTTAGGTTATTATAACGTCACAAATGTGCACTTATGCTGATGTTTTGTTAATTAATTGTTTGTTTTATATGACACGTACTTGTACGTCAAACGGTTAAGAAATGTACTAGGTACTTTAAGTAGTTACATAGTTTAAGAACGTTTTTCATTTGTGAGAAAAAAAGCTCTATAAAATGCGTTTGGCTTTGGACTAGTCTGTTACTTTAATGAAAAAAGGAACAAGTAACGTTTTGTTATTTCCTAAAGTATAATTTTCCCGTCAAGGTTTTATAGTAGGTAGGTAACTCACATGCCAACTTAGACACTCACTTAAATAAAAATATCGATACATATTTTTCACAGGATGGATAAATATTTCTCACGCAAAAACTTATGTAGGTACTCTATGGATTTTGATAAAATACCATTAGAGCATAGACATTAGAATAGCACATAGGTACGCGTGTGGTACGTTGGATAAACCACTAGTATACCTAACTCACACATTTATTTTTGGTTCAAGATTTACAAAATATTTTAATTTTGTGACGCCAGTGGATGCCATGAAACTTTTTTCAGGATTTTTCTTAAAATCTCACCAACTTGTTTACATTTGTTTAACCTTATCAATTGACGACCTTGATGATCTGAAGAGGACTTAAAAAGAGCCTATAATTTTTTATGTAAGTGTACTACAAATTAGCGCAAATTAACTTCCAAAAGAATGTTCTCCTTAATTATCATATCTCCAAGATTAGGCACACATATTTGCGGTCGGTCAACGACCATCGATCAGATGTAAAGCGTTTGTTGACGACATAACGCGACAATTATTAGAGCATTCACACAGAATGCACACGAATGTTGGCTCGCTGCCTCGAAGCTTGATAATAGGTTTAAATCCGGAGATTCTTATACAAATGCGCATCGAAATAGACTCCGGCTGCAGTATTTTTTGGGTCGAATCGCAATTAGGACGAAAACATTCGAAAATAAACGCACTACTCTAAATTGCTGAATGTCTTCTTTGTCACATCAAGCCTTCATTAATATTCCAAACTCATCGGATACTTAGTAAAATGGTACAATATGGCTGAGTGACATAATTTACATAAACTTAACTACAAGTACACTATCTGTGTGTAGAGACTAGGACTAATATACGAGTAATTTCTCACAAGTTAATGTATGATAATGAGCAACTAATTATTTATTTTGATACATATCTTCAACTAGCTATGCCCGCGACTTCGTACGCGAGAAAATAATTTTTGTTCTGCACCTATTACTCGTAGCGTGATGGTATAGTAGCCTATAGCCTTCCTCGATAATGGGCTATCTAACACTGAAATATTTTTTCAAATCGGACCAGTAGTTCCTAAGATTAGCGCGTTCAAGTAAACAAACAAACAAACAAACAAACAAAAAACTCTTCAGCTTTATAATATTAGTATAGATGATATGTATGTAGTTATAAATAAAACACCGTTACGTAAAAGCTGTAGTAATAAATTAACACATTAAAGCTCATAATTGAAGCTTTCAGCTTCACGAAAGTGCCGTAAGCTGTAAAAGTTAAAAACTTCTTTGATGTAACTGAAACTATCCTTATTTATTATATTGAGAAGTATATAAAGTGAGCTTCAAGTGGAGTCTAATAAACTATTAGAAGAAATATGTATATAGTGCAGCGATGAGAAACGCAGTAAACCGCTTACTTCGCAGTAAATGATGAAAAATGTGCAGCGCTCGAATTTCCCCTACTATTGTGTTTAGATAATATAATTAATACCTACTTTCTTGGTGAAAAGGCTTTTCTTTTTAGTAAACACTTGGATTGGAGTTCACTATTATTATGATCGGAAATGTTTCCGATCCAAGTGTCATCGTGATCGAGTTTCAGGTTTCTAGTCAAAAGAATTCAAAATTTTCGGAAACTTAGTAAGGAGGTAGGTGCCAACACTGGAAGGTTTAATTCCAAAGGCCACGACTCTATTGTTTTTCTTTTCCCACCGGGTTCATGAAATTTAAAATAATACTAAGAAAATGGCTTTTTATTTTCAATGTCATGGAACTTGTGGCCCCTTTGGAAATCATAGTATGAACTTACGTTTTTTGAAAACAAGAGAGCTATGGGAATAAGCTAACTGGAATTAGATGGTGTTGTGTATAAAATATGAGTTTTATGTGAGTTGCAACAATAGTAGTGGATGTAGCTTTGAAATTAATGCTCCCGTGACAGAGCTCGGTCCAGAGATCTAAATCTGAAGGCTCGGAAGCGAAAGATAAAACGAGCGAGACACCATCATTCATCTAGGTTTTAATATGAACCATTGATTTATGGCTCGAAACAAGTCTTGCAAGAAATAGCAATAAGTATTGTCCAGCTGGTCCCGAAAATGTAATTGAATGCGACTTTCAATGCATTGATAGCTCAGTTTCACGATGTGCCATATTGCCGTGTGCTATACATACAATTTTTCAGTTAACTTTGTGAAAATAACGTAAAAACTTAGTCAGTATTCTAAGCTAAGGTACAGATATTTATTAATAATTCAATTAAGTTAGTTAAATTTTCAATAAATGTCTTTAGCCGTAAGTTAATCAATTTCGTTATTGGTAGACCATTTTCAGGGCACTTATGCTGGTAACTAGCCCTACCACTGCTTCAGGATTACTTATAGAAATAACGGAGAATCTCAGTGATTTCATTAAATTAATGAATTGAATTCTTGTTAATTTAGCTTTGAAAAAAAAAGGCCAAGGCCCGGTCCACCTTTTTCAAGATAATATTTTTCTTATCATAATGAAGTTCAGTGAAAAGCCGTTCGTTTACGATTAATTAAGCTCGAATATTGCGTCGCA